AAACCAGAGTTGCAGGACAAAGAAACCAGTTGTGTCATTTCCCCATCCAGCAGATAGTTTGCAAGAAAGTTTGGGGAAGTTTAGACCCTTGCACGCTCTCATACCTCTGCTCCTCTCTCATCTCCTGGCTGTCTAATGTGGATATCATCTGTTCCTTTTGGATTTTTAAAGAAGAGGGAGAAAGAGTGCTGCTTGTGACTGACTGACCTCTGACTCCTCTTTTTTTCCTCTCGCTCCTCGGTTTGATTGACAGGTCTACTAAGGGACTATGAGTAATGTGCCTTTTCTTTTCATTTTTTTTCTTCAATCAAACCTGAGCCAGAAACTGAAATAATTTGCATTATGTACCACCACAAGAAACAGATTGAACTGATCTGTTGAAGAATATTTAAAGAACCTGAAAACGAATATTTGTGTTTGTTTTCAATGAAGAAGAAAAGTTTTTGTGCCTCATCAGTTTCTAAGGAGGAAAACCAAAGCCAAATGATCAGCTGTAGAGCTTGGGGTGTCATCCTAAAATTTGATTGCTCCCCCTAGTGAACACTCTGAAATATGAGGCCATGATTTACTATTTGCCTTGTCAAAGATGGCACTTATATTGAAATCAATTATCTGGGTTGTATGTCACAGGCTGCATGTAGCTTCTTTGCATTTAAATGTGGAATGAGTTAATTGTTCTGCACTTCAAATGTTGACTTTGGTCAAACGTCTTCTTTTGAAGTGTTGAGAACCATGAGCTGTGAATAATCATTAGTTCAATGACTGATGTAGCTGCAGCTTATTTATAAATGGGCACTAACAGCTAGCCTCAGACATTATCTGTCAGGTTGTTTCATAACTATAGAGCTGTGTAAAAAGTAACACCCACCAGCTGTGTCCAGCCGCATATCAGTGGCAAAGCATTTAAAGAAAGCTTTTTGGCAGGGGTTGAAAAGCACTTGAATGAGGGTTTGCAAAGATGTCAGCATAGGATAAAAAAGGAGTTTTAGTGCTGTAAATTTTGCAAAGCTGCTCCTTAAGTGACATACATGGTAGAAGGGGAAAAGGAAAGAAGCATCAGAAAATGCTGTTATCAAAGGGTGGGTTGCCTCCTGAGTGGTCCATAAGATAAGATAAGATAAGATGTTCCTTTAATAGTCCCACAGGGGGGAATTCCAAATCTACAGCAGCATAGTACAGACACAAAAAGAAAAATTAAAGAGTAAAGAAACTTAGAGTTATGTTAAGAGAAAGATATGTACATGAGTCATATTTAAATGTGTGATATACAGAATATACATAATAAGATTTATTGCACACTGACAGCTGCAGGAAGGAATGACCTGCAAGACCTCTCGGTCACACACTTCGGGTGGAGCATCCTGTCCCTTAAGGAGCTCCTCAGTGCAGTGAATGTGTGTTGGAGGGGTTAAGAGTCTCTGTCCAGCATGGAGGACAACTTGGCTGTGATCCTCCTCTCCCCAACCTCCCACACAGGTTCCAGAGGGCATCCCAGGACAAAGTTGGCCTTCTTTATGAGTTTGTCCAGCCTCTTCCTGTCAGCTGCTGTGATTCTGCTCCCCCAGCAGACTACTCCATAGAAAATGGCAGAGGCCACCACAGAGTCATAGAAGGTCTTCAGGAGTGCCCCCTGCACCCCAAAAGACCTCAGCCTCCTGAGCAGTCTGCTCTGTCCTTTTATGCAAAGTGCATTGGTGTTATGAGTCCAGTCCAGTTTATTGTTCAGATGAACACCCAGGTACTTGTAGGATGTCACCATCTCAATGTCCCTTCCCTGGATGTTCACTGGTGATTGGGGGGGGGGGGGGACGCCTGCGGAAGTCCACAACCAACTCCTTCGTCTTTCCAGCATTGATCTGGAGGTGGTTCCGCTGGCACCAGTCCATAAAGTCCCATCCCCATCAGTGATGAGGCCGACGATGGCAGAGTCATCCGAGAACTTCTGCAGGTGGGTGACAGGTGGGAAAAGTCTGTAGTGTAGAGGGTGAAGAGGATTGGTACCAGCACCGTTCCCTGGGGGGGCCCTATAGTACAGAGTGCAGTCTCTGACACACAGTCTCTGGTCCTCACATACTTTGATCCACAATCCAGCATGTGAGGTGTTGGTCCACTCCAGAGAGCTCCAGTTTGTTCCTCAGGATGGCCAGCCTGATGGTGTTGAAAGCACTGCTGAGGTCCAGAAAAAGGACCCGAACAGAGCTTCCAGTCGACTCCAGGTGAGACGGAGCTCCTTGAAGAAGGAAAATGATGGCGTTGTCCACTCCGATGCCAGTCTGGTATGTGAACTGCAGCAGATCCATGGATGAGCTCACCAAGGGAGGCAGGGGGGCGAGAACCAGCTGCTCCAGCACCTTCATGAGGTGTGACGTTAGAGCCACTGGTCTGAAGCAGCAAGGGTCCTGTGGAGGCTGTGGAGTCTTTGGAACTGGTACCACGCAGTATGTCTTTCAGAGTTGTGGTACCCCTCCCAGTTCCAGGCTGTTGAACAGATGTCCAATGATCCCACTCAGCTCGCCTGAGCAGAACCTGAGCAGTCTGGGACTGAGGCCATCTGGTCCTGCTGCCTTCCTGGTCTTGATCTTCCTGAGCTGATTCCTCACCTGGAGAGATGTGAGGGACAGGCCGGAGCAGGGGGGCTGTTTGTCCTATGATACAGATGGGGAGCTGGAAGAAGCAGTGGGGGGTGGGGCTGGTGGTTGTGAACTGAATACTGTAGTGGGGGAGGTGATGGGGGGCTTGGGCAGAGCACAGGAGGATCAAAGGACGGGGGCTGCTGCAGGGCTGCTATAGCTGGGGGAGGGGCAGATATATCCTCAAACCTACAGTGGTAGGTGTGAAGTTCATCCGCCCACTTTTGGTCCCCATAATACAATCAGAAAAGTCATCCAGAGGTTTCGACCCTCTTATTCTTTGTAGGGGTGTGGTGACTCAAACAGACACAGGTGAGGTGCATTCATAATATCTAGTGGATGTCCAGGACCAAGGACTAATATGACCCAAGCATAATAAAATGTCCGCTCTGATAAGTAGTTGCAAAGCTTCAAACACAATCTAATCCTGCTGCTTATTTAAACACCAACTGTGTTGATTTAGGGTCCAGTTTTAAAATACTGGAGGTGTAAATGCTCTGCTGGGACAGTAACCATTACATCAGTGTAGGAAAATGTGACTCCTCTGCCAAATGTTGGACCTCGGACCCAAGTGTATGTTTTGCACACAAGTTGGTTGGCGTTCCTCTGAGCAGCATGGAGGCGCAACAAAAACAGTTCTTCCCCTTGATGAAAACAGTTTGTTGTGTGTGAGTGTGTGTGTGTGTGTGTGTGTGTGTGTGTGTGTGTATAAATCTCTTAATTACAGGAAACACTTCAGATTGAGCCTGTTTACTTCTACAGAGCTCCTGCAGATAAAGCAAAGATGAGAAACCTTTGATGGGCGTGACCCTAGGCTAATGTCTTAAATGCTGAAAAGATGGGTGGAGTGTGTTGGTCACTTCCTCTGCCATGATAACAGATCCTTCACAAACTCTAGAATTGAGAGACTGAGGTACAGTAATAGATGAATATGTAAAGCTTTAAGCTTTATTAATATCAAACTCATTTTGTATTTCAGGGCAGAACCTCAGAAAAATCTAAGTCTGCTTCAGTCCTATTAAACATTGACAGTAAAGAGCTGAGAGGATGGCAACAGAGAAGTACAGCAATGAGAGAGAAAGAGGAAGGAAACAATGATATAATCTGGATGATCAGCAGAGAGGAGTAGCTCAGTGTTTCAAAGATGTCTCATTCTGAGTCCTCTCTCTTGAGGCTGGGTGGAGACATGATACTGTCGGCCTACACTCCCTTTGAGATAAACTCCTGAACCATTCAAGGGATAGTTTATCTCAATTTGAACAGATTTGCCCACTGATTGGTGCTTCAAAGGAGAGTCAAGTATGTGTGAATGCCAGCTCAGAGTTCGATCAAAGACAACAGTGAGCAAAGCTTTAATATTATAATGAATGACTTAAATGTAAACAGCAGAAGCTAAATCCTTATTACATTTACATCCCTGAATTGTACTAAATACTGGGAATTGGCACGATTAATCAATGGTTGATTAATTGATCGTAAGAATTACATCAATCAGGCAAAGTTTTGATTGATCTCACATTTTAAAAAAAGGACTGACAGCATCTACCAGCTGCTTTCCAGCAAAGATCAACCTCTGCTAACTCGAAGGGGTAACCTCTTTGTCCAGTCAGTGTGTATGTGTGTGTTAAGGCAATACAGTGACTATCACCATGTGCAGGGATTTTGACATTTAACAAGGGAAGTGATACAGTGTCTGCGGGCTTCTGTAGAAGTTGAAAAAAAAACCATGAAGAAAGCAAGAAATGGGACAATTTCGCGCAGAAAAATGATGAGGTTTGCTGCAAACACTGTGATGCGATTGTGTTGCCTTTACGGCATAATTTGCATAGTAAGTTTGTACATGCTTTTATTTTGAAATGTATTTTATTTTGAAATGGGTTTTCTTTACTGAGGAAGTCGCATGCATACACTTCACTTCATGTTAGTTGGAAGAAGCTAGCTGCATCAGCTCTCCTGTGTTTTCTGTGTTCATCCAAAGCCATCCACACTGTAAACGCCACAGAGGTAGTGGTGTGTCGGTCTTGAACGAACGGATCAAAAGAACTAGTTCTTTTTGATGAACGAAATGGACTAGTTCTCCCCCTCTAAATGACCCGTTCAATCCGTTCAGTTCTTTTGATTGGCTGAAGAGGGACTGCTTGCCTGTCTTATCCTATCGTCGCGCCTCGTTCTGTGTGTGGGTGGGGCTTAGAGAAGCAGCAGCAGTACTACTGAGCTGACTGAAAGACCGGGATGACCGAGTTGACTGAAAGAACGGGTCAAATGAACGAAAGACCTAGTTGACTGAAAGAACGGGTCAAATGAACGAAAGACCTAGTTGACTGAAAGAACGGGTCAAATGAATGAAAGACCGAGTTGAACGAAAGACCCAGACCGATGAACGAGTTGAACGAAAGACCGAGTGAACGAAAGACCGAGTTGAACGAAAGACCCAGACCGATGAACGAGTTGAACGAAAGACAGAGTGAACGAAAGATCCAGACCGATGAACGAGTTGAACGAAAGACAGAGTGAACGAAAGATCCAGACGGATGAACGAGTTGAACGAAAGACCGAGTGAACGAAAGATCCAGACAGATGAACGAGTTGACTGAAAGACTGAGTTGAGTGGCCGCCGCACGAGGCCCGACAGCCGAGCCAGAGCAAGCGGGACAGTCACACACACGCAAAGGCACACAGCTGCTGCTGCAGCCAGAGGCAGAGAGACAACTATTAATACGCATTTGCACTGTCTGTTGACATTTTGTACTTTTTATTATTGTTTTTAATGCACCTCAAAATAATAAAAACCATTAAAAACCTTATATACTTTGTTACTCCTACTATAATTTTATATTACAAGTAGTGCAGTGAGATCGCAGCGTTGGACCGGGTGGAGCGGTTGGGGGGGGGGGGGGGGGGGGGGGGTTGGTGACCGAAATGAACGGGTCTTTTTACTGAACGACCCGGAATGATCCGGTTCACTGAAATGACCGGTTTTGCCCACCACTACACAGAGGCAATGTCGTGAGTAAATAATTTCATGGTTGTATATAAATAATCGTTAAAAAGAATATATTTTTACGTTAAAAAGGATTTGATTGGGTTTATTAAGATATTTCATTTGTCATGTATTTAATTTGAGAAAAGCACATTGTGGAGAGTTAAAATGGTGATTTGTTTTATATTTTTGTGTTACAGTTTTCACTCTGCTTTGTAAGACGATACAAAAGAGGATCAGTAAACAGCAAAGAAAGCTCACTACGACTCGAATCAATCATTTGCAGAGAAGAGTTTAGCTAGTTGTATAGCTGCACTTGCTACACTGTGGTGAGGGCAACATAGTGAAAAGACATTTAAAGTCTGGTGTTGTACATCGTGGTAAGATGGACAGGAAACAAAATGACAAGATTTCAGTGACTAGCAGGAGTAGCAGGAGTTCGCGGTCATCTGTATCATCAAGTGGATCATTAATACGTGCACGTGCCAAAGCAGAAGCGGCTAAAGCACGCCTTGCATTTGCTGAACAAGAAGCTAAAGCTAAGATAGAGAGAGCAGCTAAGGAGGCTGAGCAACAGAAAGAGATAGCTGATAGAGAAGCTGAATATCAGAAGATAAAGGCTGATAGAGATGCTGCATATCACCTTGAGAAAGTGAAAAGCGAAGCCGAGCTCGAAGAGCTTGCTTTACGCCAAGAAGCGGCAGCAGCAGAGGCTGAAGCAGCTGTGTGGGAATCAGCAGATGCCCAGGCATGTCAGTTGATGCTAGATGAGGTAGGCCCATCAGAAGAAGACAAAATGGAGCGGACAAGTGATTACATTACCTCTCACTTTGACCCACAATCACACAAACGCTGTCCTTCAACTGACCCTCCAGATCAAGAAGCCATTAAAGCTCACTCACCGAAAAGTCAGCCCCTAGTAAATGAGACATTATTCAGCCCTCGCAATCCCTTTAATCCAGAGTATCGGACCCATGCTTTTCCAAATGAAACCTTACATGCTAATGTCACTAGCCACCCTGACATTTTTGACGATATGTATGTCCCACCAGCAGTCAAAATGGAAAATCAGGCTTCTTACAGTGCATCTGACCAACAGAGAGATTCAAAAGTGTGTCAGTCCAACCTGAATAAGTCAGCACAGCCCTTCTACCCCAAGTCCACGACTACGGCTTCCCACAGTGCACCTGCAACTGAGCACCTGGCGCAGTACTTGGCTCGGCGCGACCTGGTGAATTCAAGTTTATATCAGTTTGATGATAAGCCTGAACACTATCGTGCTTGGCAGTCTTCATACACCAATGTCACACAAGGGCTGGGCCTCACACCTACTGAGGAGTTGGACTTGATGATAAAATGGCTTGGTAGAGAATCCAGCAACCATGTGAAACGTATATGGTCAGTGCACATAACAAACCCAGTCATAGCGCTTAAGAAGGCCTGGGATCGCCTCCAGGAATGTTATGCAGCACCTGAAATGATCGAAAGGTCTCTTTTCGACCGTCTTGACAATTTTCCTAGAGTTTCGGGAAAAGAACATGTGAAGCTACGGGAGCTAGCAGATTTGCTAATGGAAGTACAGTGTGCTAAGGAGGACGGCTACCTCCCAGCTCTCTCTTACCTGGACACCGCAGGTGGTATCGAACCCATAGTTGCAAAACTGCCCTATGGGCTTCAAGAAAAATGGATTTCAGCTGGTTCAAAACATAAGGAAGAAAATAAAGGGCAATTTCCACCATTTGAATTTTTCAGCCGGTTCATAAGTTATGAGGCACGTAAGAGAAATGACCCCAGCTTTTCTATCCCAAGTACGAGCAGCTCATCCACAAAGTTAGAAAGGGTCCCCTTTAAAGGCACAAGGGACCCTATTTCGGTTCACAAGACGGATGTTGATTCTACACACACACATGCGAACAATTTAAAAAGTGTAAGTGACCCAAACAATAGCTGCCCAATCCACACCAAGCCACATCCCCTCAAACGGTGCAAAGCTTTTAGAGCCAAGAACCTGGAAGAAAGAAAGACCTTCCTCAAAGAAAGAGGGATCTGCTTTAGGTGTTGTAGCTCAACTGCTCACTTTGCAAAGGACTGTCCAAATGCAGTTAAATGTATGGAATGTGAGAGCACCTATCACGACTCTGCCATGCATCCTGGACCTGCACCCCAAGTTAAGGCTTCCTCAACTTCACCACACAACGGCGGGGAGGGAGAAGAGAACAGCGCTACCACAACAGTTGTTAACTCAAGCTGCACTGAGGTTTGTGGCACAGGACAAATTGGTCGATCATGCTCCAAGATTTGCTTGGCTAAAGTATACCGCAAAGGTCAACCTGACAAGTACATTAAGGCCTACATCATTTTGGATGACCAAAGCAACAGGTCATTAGCACGGTCCGGCTTATTTGAGCTATTTAATGTGGAGTGTGAACCATACTCCTACTATTTGAAGACATGTTCTGGCACCGTCGAAGCATCTGGGCGAAGAGCTGAAGCCTTTGTTGTCGAGTCACTGGATGGAAGGGCTACAATCCCTCTCCCACCACTCATCGAGTGCAATGATATACCCAACAATCGGTCTGAAATCCCGACTCCAAATGCAGCTCGACACCATCCTCATCTCTCCAAAGTAGCAGAGCACATCCCTGATATCGATCCAACTGCTGAGATTCTCCTCTTGCTCGGCAGAGACGTAATAAGAGTGCACAAGGTGAGGGAACAGGTCAACGGGCCCCACAATGCCCCCTTTGCGCAGCGCCTGGACCTGGGATGGGTGCTAGTTGGAGAAGTATGCCTGGGAAGTGCACACAAGCCGACTATTAACACCTTCAAAACAACTGTGCTTGACAATGGTCGACCCTCACTCCTCCAGCCTTGCACAAGCTTCTTGCACATCAAAGAGAAGATTGATCATGGCACAGTAGCAAGTGGTGGCACGTCAGAGGTCAGCAAACCTGCAGAAGAGATGTTAGGACAAACTGTCTATAGTCACACTGAACATGACACCAAGCTGGCATCCTTGATTGAAGACGAAATCTTCTTGAAACTGATGGACAAAGAAGTCTACAGAGACGAGTCTAACAGTTGGGTTGCCCCACTCCCATTTAGGCAACCAAGGCAACGCCTACCCAACAACCGGGAACAAGCAGTCAAATGCTTCGCCTCACTCCAGTGCAGTCTAAATAAGAGACCAGAGACGCAACAGCAATACATAGCCTTCATGGGAAAAATATTGGAGAATTGTCATGCGGAGGTAGCGCCACCGTTGGAAGAGAATGAAGAATGTTGGTACTTGCCAACCTTTGGGGTTTTCCACCCACAAAAACCAGGCCAAATTAGGGTGGTATTTGACTCAAGTGCCAAACACTCTGGAGTTTCCCTCAATGATGTGCTCCTCACAGGACCTGATCTCAACAATACACTCCTCGGAGTCCTGATGCGGTTCCGGAAGGAAAAGGTCGCTATCCTGGCAGATATACAACAGATGTTTCACTGTTTCTTAGTGCGACCGGACCACAGGAACTACCTGCGATTCCTGTGGTACAAGGATAACGACGTGACAAAGGAGATCATAGACTATAGAATGAGGGTTCATGTCTTTGGCAACAGCCCATCCCCTGCTGTAGCTATTATGGACTTAGAAGAGCCATCAGAGAGGGTGCCCAAGAACATGGAACTGACACCATCAACTTTGTGGAACGCAACTTCTATGTGGACGATGGCCTTCTTTCTGTGCCAACTGATGCTGAAGCCATCGACTTGTTGCACCGAACACAGACTTCCCTTGCAGAATCGAACCTCAGGCTTCACAAGTTTGTGTCCAATAGCCAACTGTCCTGGAAGCTTTCCCACCTGCAGACTGTGCTGCTATCTTGAAGGATGTGGATTTCTGTGGAGAGGCAGTCCCTACTTAACGCAGCCTGGGCCTCCTGTGGGAGATAACAAGTGACACGTTCACCTTCTCTGTGGCCCATGACATCAAGCCATTCACTCGTCGTGGTGTCCTCTCCACAGTGAACAGTGTTTTCGACCCCTTAGGGTTTCTGGCCCCAGTAACCATCCAAGGAAGAGCCCTCCTCCGAGAACTCACAGCAGAGCTGTCTGAATGGGATGCAGCCTTACCTGAAGATAAGCTCAGTAAGTGGCAGGCGTGGCAAAACTCTCGTATGGACCTGAGACACCTCCATGTGCCCCGGACATACACCGCAGCTTCTCTTGCCAAGGCAGTGCATGTACAGCTGTGCGTGTTGTCTGACGCATCTATCAAAGCCATTGGTGCTGTAGCATACCTGAAAGCTGTGCAAAAAGATGGAGAAACCCATGTTGGATTCGTCATGGGAAAGGCGAAACTTGCACCCCAGTCGGAACCAACGATTCCAAGGCTCGAACTTTGTGCAGCAGTCCTAGCCGTGGAAATGGCAGACTTAATTCGTGACGAATTGGATTTGAAACTGGATTCCACAAAGTTCTTCACTGACAGCAAAGTGGTTCTGGGTTACATATTCAATGAATCTAGACACTTCTATGTCTATGTTCATAATAGAGTACAGCGCATTCGCCAAACCACCAAGCCTGATCAGTGGCACTACGTGCGCACGGAAGATAATCCTGCTGACTATGCGTCAAGGTCTGCTCCTGCCTCACTCCTGGCGCAGTCAACGTGGTTCACAGGACCTGACTTCCTGCTCAACCCTCCCAACGAACCAGAAGCAGATCAGTCCT